CAGTGGCCTCCACTTTGCAGGTGAAGGAGGCAGGCTCAGGGGATTCGCCCAGTGTCGTGCCCCTCGAGGAAGCGGCCATGCTAGGATCTAGAAAGTCCGCGTCTCACCCTCTGAGCTCAGAGACGGAATGGGGCCGTCCTTCCCTAGCTCTGCACGCGAAGACGCAGCACGGTTTGTCCTGAGAGCTAAAAGGTCCTCGTCAGGGCCTCTAAGGCAACACACGAGCCCATTCATCCTCTTCAGGGCCCTTTGTGTCCTGGCCTTTGCAGCCAGCCAGTCAATTGATCTGCCCGTCTCCAGGGATACAGTGCGACCATGTTCGGTTCGCTGCGCATCTGCAGAGTATTTTGGCTTTGTCGTCTCACGCTGTCCATCCTGAACCAGGTCCTCTCAGGACATTTGGCATCAAGTAACATAAACCCACTCCAGTAGGGCCTCTTATAGGGGGCGTGGCTAGGCTAAGGAGGACCCAGATGGAGGGGAGGGGGGAATACAAAACAGCTGGTCTCTATCCCTTTTTGCACAGGGCTCTTTCCTGCATGGCCTTCACCCGCCTCTTCCCGCAGACCAGCTTTCTCTGTGCACACAGCTCCCCTGTGACCTTCAGGTTTCTTGCACCCAATTAATATAGCCAGTCCAAAATGACCAGGGTCATTGGCACCCAAGCCCACAGGGCCCACTTTGGGAAACACTGCCCAAGCAAGAGCCACTCCCATGGAGAACAGCGCCTAGCGCACAACAGGGGCTGAACACGTGTTGGCCGGTGGATCCGCTGGCTCAGCGGCACACACCCCCAGGCGGTGCTCCACCTGCAGTCACAGCCGGGCGCCAGTCTTCTGCCTCAGTCCCCTGCTTGCAGCTGCCCTTCATCAGAACTGTAATCCGTTTGAGAAAAGTGAAAGTCGAGATTGAGAGCAGGTGGAGTATCCGCTATGGGCCCAGCACTGCCCACGATGCAAAGGCAGTGCCCACCTCCGACAGTGGTTCTCAACCTTGGCTGCATATTAGAATCACCTGGGAATCTTTAAAATCCTCAGGGCGTTTAAAATCCTGAGGATTTAAAAAAGATTCCCAGGTGATTCTAATGTGCAGCCAAGGTTGAGAACCACTGGCCTACAAGGACTTCGGCTAAGTTTAGGGGTGGAGCTAAACGGGAATTTTTTTGGGGGGGGTTGGGGGGAGGACACAGCATCTCTCACAGAACCCAAGGGCAGAAGTACAACTGGGATCCCCAGGGGCCAGGACCAAAGACCAGAGAGTCATCAGCAGACAGCCGTGTCTGAGGTCTCATTGCTCCCGTCGCCTCTTCTAGCTTCATTCTCTCTGCAGAGCAGCATCCCCTGCTTCCCTCACCTGTGGCCCATCAGGATGGCCCCCAACAGCCCCTGATCCCTGAGACCACATCAGCCAATGGCCTCTCGGTCCATCCCAGGACCAATTCCTGGGAAAGAAGGTCCTGGCCCAGCTCAGCATCTGATTGGTTCTCCTGGGTCAGGTGGACATATACGTCAGGTCCAATCAGCTGTGACCTGAGGGGGTATATAGGTCACATGCCTGCAACCTGGCTGCTGAGATGCCTCCTCTGGGTGGGATGGGAGTGCTAGGTGGGCGTTTTCTCTGCTCGTTCACAGCCCGGGGCCATTTAGGGCTCAAACTCAGGTGGATGGCTTCTCGCTCATCTCTGTCTTCTTATATTTTCCTTAAGAACCAAAATGTGATGCACAGGAAAGGGCTAGGGTTTTCTGGTTTTTACTTTTTAAACTTTTTTTTTTTTCTTTAGTCAACAGATGGGGCCATGATAGATCTGAACCAAGGAGCAAACAGGACGAGGGTGACTTGGGGAAGGCTGAGGTGGAGATGACCCCTGCTTTGGCAGGTGGTTTTAATTTAATATCGCAGATAACTTCCTTGCCTCTCTGGGCACGAGTCAGGACCCCAGCCTGTAGCTAACACTCTCTCTGCCTTTGTTTTAACAGAGATGAACCCATGCTCTACATTTTATATGCTAACAATTCACGGTATGTTCTGAGCAATGTGAATACTTTCCTCCTCGATCCTTTCCACACATACAAAACCAACCGGTCCTCCATGCTCTTCCACAGTGTTCCTGCCCAAGGGGAGAGTCGGGAAGTGGGAAACGCTGGGAGGTGTTCAGGCCGGAGGGGGCTGGTCTCTGAGTGTGAAGCTTGAACCCTGTGTTGGTTTCCTGTCGCCACAGTGACCAATTCCCACAAACTTGGGGGGTGGCCTGAAACACCGGAAACGTGTTCTCTCAGAGCTCTGGGGGCCAGAAGCCCACCGTTAGCACCACCTGGGAGCCAGTCACGGGTTTCAGCAGGGCCGCTCCCTTGGACGCTCTAGGGAAGACTCCATCCTGGCCTCTTCCAGCTCTGGTGGCCGCCGGCGTCCTTGACGTGTGGCTACATCACTCCAGTCTCTGCCTCTGTGGCCACATGGCTGCCTCCTCTTCCATGTCTGGCTTCTCCCCGCCTCTCACTCATGAGGACATTTGTGGATGACATGTAGTGTCCCCATCATCCAGGGTCTCTTCATCTCACAATCCTTAAGTCACATCTGCAAAACCTTTGCCATAGAAGTAACATGCTCGGGTCCCTGATGTCTTTGGGGCCACCAGTCAGCCCACTATAAGCCTCAGGTCACTCTCTCTCCCGAGGAGGGTCTAGGCTGGGCAGATACCCAGAAGGATGTCCACCAGAGGCAGGTTGAGAGAGCTTTTAAAAAGCCGTTTCTCAGCTCAGTTCACTGGAACCTGGCTACTCCCCTTTCCTTTCCCCTCCCATCAGGAGGCAGCATAGGGAGTAACTGCAGAACAGGTCCGGCCCAAAGACACACAGAGAACCACGGACTGGCTCAGCCGTGGGCAGGACCTGAGCGGCCTCCAGGTGTCCCATGCCAGCAGGCAGATCCCGCACTCCCTTCTTTATAGATAACTAGAGGCCCGGTGCACAACATTCATGCATTGGGGGCAGGGGGTGTCCCTCAGCCCAGCCTGTGCCCTCTCGCAGTCCGGGACCCAAAGGGTCCTTAGCACGGCCTTGGAGCTGCTGCGCTTGCCAGCCGTGAGCCCGGCTTCTGGCTGAGTGGCACTCCCCCTGTGGGAGCACACTGACCACCAGGGGGCAGCTCCTGCATTGAGCGTCTGCCCCCATGGTGGTCAGTGTGCATCATAGTGACTGGTTTTTCCACCATTTGGTTGATTTGCATATTAGGGTTTTATTATATACTAGTGGCTGCTGGCCAGGTACTCCCTCCCTTCCCCCAGCCGCCTGCTGCCACCGCTGAGGCCTCCCTCCCTTCCCCCAGCCGGCCGGCCCCTGGTCAAACTCCGGTGGAGGGGACAATTTGCATACTACGCTTTTATTATATAGGAGGAGTTGCATCAGGAAAGCGAAGGTTGGAACTTCAGGACCTGCTGCCAACCCCCAGATAAGCAGTGGTTCACTTCCTAACTGCTGCCACTCCCCGCCCATGGGAGCTTCTAGGAATCATCTTACGCTTCCAACCACGTTCTCAGCCACACAGGCTCCCACAGGCCCTCCCCGCTTGCCAATACCAGGTACTCCCTCCCTTCCCCCAGCCGCCTGCTGCCACCGCTGAGGCCTCCCTCCCTTCCCCCAGCCGGCCGGCCCCTGGTCAAACTCCGGTGGAGGGGACATTTGCATACTACGCTTTTATTATATAGGAGGATTTGCATCAGGAAAGCCAAAGGTTGGAACTTCAGGACCTGCTGCCAACCCCCAGATAAGAAGTGGTTCACTTTCTAACTGCTGCCACTCCCCGCCCACGGGAGCTTTTAGGAATCATCTAGGGCCTGAGAATTTACTCTTCCAACCACGCTCCCAGCCACACAGGCTCCCACAGGCCCTCCACGCTTGCCAATACAGTGGGGCCTTGACTTACGAGTGTCCTGACTAACGAGTTTTTTGAGATACCAGTTGCCAATACCAGGAAGGCTCTTTGGGAGCCAGGTCTGTCTTCCCAGACGCCCCGCTCCTCCGAAGTCCGCGACCCTCTGGGCAGTTCTCCTTAGTTGACCTGCGTTCCTGGGCCCCGCAGGCAGTCCCTTCGTCCTCCCCACAAGGACATGCTCACCCACCTGCATGGCCACACAGCCCGGCAGTTCTGGGGGCTGAGCCACAGCGTCCCGCCCCTCCAGTCCTCGACCCTCTGGGCAGTTCTCCTTAGTTGACCTGCGTTCCTGGACCCCGCAGGCAGTCCCTTTGTCCTCCCCACAAGGACATGCTCACCCACCTGCATGACCACACAGCCCGGCAGTTCTGGGGGCCAAGCTCCCTCGTGGCCAGTTCTCAGGGACAGAGATGTAGGAAGGATGTTCAGATAGGTAGTGAGCTGCTGTCTAAGAACCAGACTTTCTTTTTTTAAAAATATATTTTTATTAATTTCAGAGAGGAAGGGAGAGGGAGAGAAATAGAAACATCAATGATGAGAGTTCAATCATTGATCGGCTGCCTCCTGCACGCCCCCTACTGGGGATCAAGCCCACAACCCGGGCATGTGTCCTTGACCATTATTGAACCTGGGACCCTTCAGTCCACAGGCCGACGCTTTATCCACTGAGCCACACCGGCTAGGGCTAAGCACCAGAACTTTCTGTGGGGCCTGTGGGCTGCCTCTGTTCTTGGGGAACACAAGTCCTCATTCAGCGTCTGGAAAAGCCCTTTATGTTGAGTTGCACAGTGGAGTGTTTAAGAACTCAGGCCCTGGAGCCAGACGGCCGGGTTCAAACCCCAGCCCTGCCTCTTACTCTTGCTGTGGCATGGGCCCTTTAATGAACCCGAGCCTCCATGACTCACCTACACAATGGGTACAGGTGAAATGGGAGAACATACGTGGGGTGCTCAGCACAGCGCCTGGCATACAGTATGTGTGGGGTACGGGTCAGCTGTTAGTATGATTGATATTGCTCCATAAGCAAGTCAGTCTTGGGAGAGCTGCTCAAGTAATTCAGCACCCACATGTACAACAAATAAAATATTTTATTATAAAAAGCTCAGCTGCACGGCATCTTAGAAGGAATGGAACATCCCCTCCAGCTTTCCTGCCGTTGCACGGGAGGGACTAGTCAAGTGTACCGGTTAAGACGATGGTCTTCAGCATCTTCAGGCCTCGGGACCTCCAAGAACCAACGGCGTCCGGGCTCTGAGAACCCCACCTGGGCCTCACCCCACAGAGTTATCCAGCCTTTTGTTCTGCTTAATTCACAAAACGGCCCCACGCCCTTGCCACAGAGCTGAGTCGTATTTGCTACACGCGGTTCGGGACTCCGGTGAAGAAAGCAAAGGCTTAACTTGTTTTCTTTTGGAGACAAAACAGTCACAGTGAAAAGCAAAACCAAACCACAACAGTCACTAGGCATCCTTTCCCGGTCGGAAAGAGGCTGTTGTCATCACCGATTCAGTTGAGGAAAGACGATGGGGAAGATGCACCGCCCCTCCCCCCATGGGGTCCGCAGCATCACGGGATCCGAGACAGCATCTCCGTCCAGTGCGCCAGCTACGGAAGGTTCTGTGGACGTGCGCCACCCCAGACTCACAGGACTCCCCAACCCACACCCCCCATTCGAAACTGCTCAGTCCGCACCCGTCCCCTCGCTTCTCAACTGTGGCTGGAGTGGCTTCATTGGGGTCTGTTGGTGCGGAGGGTGAGTGACTGGAGGGAACACCCCAGAGAGGGGCCGTCAGTCGGGGGGCCGGGCGTTGGGGGCCTTCTCCTGGACTTCGTCGTACTGTGGCGGGGGAGTCAAAGGCTCGATGGAGGGAGGAGGGACGTTTTTGTCCGGCAGGTTGATCCTAAAGTCTTTGAGGTGAAGCTTCTCGGATTTAATCCTTCGAACTTTCAGTGGCTTCAGGCGTTTAGCCAACTTGGAGTTCTGCCTGTCGGGTGGGTGCCCCAGGCTGCCCTCCACGTCAGCCCTGGGGGTGGTGGGGCTCGTCTCGTCCAGCCCCGTCAGGGACTCATAGGAGGGGAGAGAGATGCTCATTCTCGGGCTGTGGTCTGGTTCCCTGGCTTCTGAGAAGTTGGTGTTCATCACTTCCTCGTAACTGGGGACGTAGTACCTTGACGAGGCCTCCTCCTCCTCCTCCTGGCTGCAAGACAACAAGCACAGGCACGAGGGTGAGCAAGGCCTCACGTCACCTAAAATCATGAGAAGACGGACTCAAATCAAGCGTTGGCCCTGGGCTCATAGACACCAGCCTTGGGAAGAACCAATGGGTCCGAGAAGTAATAAAAACTAACACTTCTTCTGTTTGCTCTGAGCCAGGAGTGTGCTAAGTACTTGAGCACATATGAGCCAATGTCATCGCCCTGTGAGTTAGGTGCCATTATTATACCCATTTTATGGATGGGAAAACTGATACATTGAGGTTACCTGACTCGGCCATACCTTTAGCAAGTGAGAGGGTGGGAACTGAATACCGCACTCTCAATCACTACATCATATTATCTGGGTGTTAATCGCTCCTTGCCTGTAAGTCCCACACTTCACATGCCCAGTGGGCTGTTCTGATGCCCAGCTGGTCCTGTGGCCAAAAGGCAACATAAACATGCACGAAACAGCTGCCAGCTTGAAGCAAAATGGTTGGCCCCAGGTAGAGAAGGCATATCTGAATGTAAAATTTATACGTATTTCAAATTATTCTGTGATTTTTATCTTCCAGGTTCACCATAAGACTCAAAGAATAAGTCAGGTCCTCAGCCTTACGTTCATTTGATGGTTGAAATAAAAAAACACCAAATCAGGGTGTTTTTTACGTATTTATAGGGACTGATGCCAACAGCCATTTCCCAGAACCCTACACTCGGACCGGTCCTCAGCCTTACGTTCATTTGATGGTTGAAATAAAAACTCCCAAATCAGGGTGTTTTTTACACATTTATAGGGACTGAGGCCAACAGCCATTCCCAGAACCCTACACTTGGACCGCTGGGGTGGTAACAGCATCAGAAACCCTGCTGTTGTCTGGCTTTCCTCTCATCTCCTTCGGGCATGCACCGTGTGAGCTCACGGCTCGGTGAGTAATTATGGGGGACTGCTTTTCCTTCTTTGTTCTTTCCGCTCTTTCCCAAGTTTTCTAGCACATGCACGCTTGTCTTTTATTATCAGAAAATAGGTTTACGTTTTCCAAAGTAAAAACAACTCCCTCCCACTCTAAGTAGCTCTTTCCTATAAGATAAGAGCTACGCACAAAAAATTCAAACACAGAAAGATCCGGTGAAGAGAAGAAAACCCTCGCAACCCCTCCCACTGCTAACGCTTTGCTGCATACCTTTCCAGATCCGTCCCTACCTCACCCCACAGCCACAACACTGGACACCATGAGGCTGCCCTCCACGTCGGCCCCGGTTGTCGCATCAGATATTGTGGGTTATCACACAGCATCCTGCACCGAAAATGCCGTGTGGTAACTCCTGTCCTCGGGGTGGCGGACACGGCCCCCCATCAGCAGTAGAGATCAGCTGTGACTGCACCGAAGGTCGCTGAAGGACAGGCCACAATTGAGCCCGATGGATGGATATTTAGGGTGCGTCTCTGAGAAACACAGAGGCACAAACTCCTTTGTGCTTGTGTGGCTGTCTCCCAAGGATCAGCTCTCAGAACAGAATCGACAGGCACCCACATCGTTAACACCGCCTCTTACTGTGAAACTCCCCTCCTGCAAGGTCACGCGGCCACCGGCAGCCCGCCAGCGCCCGGGCCGTCTGTCACGGCCAGCACGAGAGGCAAAGAATAACGGCACCTTCTCTGTGTTTGCATTTCGTGGCTAGCGAGGTTGGACATCACCAATGGTCCGGACGTCTCTGAAACGCTTGCCTGGATCCTTCTGTCCATTTTCCTACCGGCATGTTCGTCTTTATTCATGTGCAAGGGCTCTTGATAATGGGGGCATCCACGTTTATCATATATCCCCAACACATCACTCATCTTTTCATTCTGTTTGGGGCATTTGTGATCACATAGAACACTGCTTCCCAACCACTTCCACTCAAAGCAGATGCCCACAGCACGCCGGGAGGGATGGACAGGCAGCCCAGGTGGAGGCTCGGGCCACCCCAATCCTCACGCCTCTTCCCTGGGGGCGTCAAAATCTAGGGGCACCTGTAATCTGCTCACACCACTGTCCTTGGGAGACTCTGGGATGGACGTATAAAGTGATTTGTTCACTGAGAAGCTGTGTTACGGAGCCGGAGTCGGGGAGTGGGAAGGTAAAGCTTCCCAGACTACGCTATTCTCCTCACTGAATTATGAAAACCCTAGTGAAGGAAATAAAGCCACACACCCTCCGACTGCTAGCATTCTGCTGCACACCTCTGCAGACCTTCCCTAACCCCACAGCTACGATATTTGGGTGTGTGCATGCATGGCCCTGGCCGGTCTGGGGCTTGGGGAGCGGGGG